GGGCCAATGTCCTGATCCACCCCTTCTGCTTGCATCCTGACATGATCTGCCTGCCCTGTGGAGATACCACCATCAACAGCATGTATGGTGTCTTTGTCGTCATTGCTGCCTTTGGTATAGATTCAGTGCTCATCCTCCTCTCCTATGTGCTCATTTTGCGCTCTGTGCTGGCCATTGCCTCCAAGGAAGAGAGGCTCAAGACACTTAACACATGTGTAGCACATATCTGTGCTGTGCTCATCTTCTATATACCCATGCTTTGTGTGTCAATGGTTCATCGATTTGGGAAGCATGCCCCTGAGTATGTGCCCAAGTTCATGTCCTTGATCTATCTTTTTGTTCCTCCAATGCTGAACCCAATTATCTATTCTATCAAGACTAAGGAGATTCGCAAGAGGCTACACAAGATGCTTTTTGGACCCAAGCTCTGATCAGGAAGAAATGTTCTGGAAAATCATACATGTTAAGGATTCTTGCTATTGTTTATGCTTGGGTGTATCAGGTTAGTCCTTTGGAGTCTTTCAATCTCCTTCTAGACATGGAGTGACAGTTGGGTTTCTGGCATTAGTTTTCTGGTGTATTCTGCTATAGCCTGTAACTCAAAACATCAGGCTGCCCTACTTTACTTTAAATTTCACAGTTGCACCAAATACCTTTTCAACATGAAAGAGTTTTTTAATAGATCTTATGCTTTCTAGTGAATCTCAAAAAATAATGGTACATATCCATTATACAATATATATATATATATATATATATATATATATATATATATATATATATACATATATTTGAATATGCTATCATGAATGTCTTATTTGTATAAAGCATCTATAAAAAACATTAAATAACAGGAAGACAGAACAGCAGAACAGTAGAGTAGCGGACAGGGAAGAACAGGAGGTAGGAGGTAAGAAAAAAGGAAGTACTGGGGACTTAAATGAATCTTATTATATTTCATGTAGATGAGAATATGTCAAAATGAACCCCACTATTATGTTTATTTATAATGCACTAAAATACTTTAAAAATAGTGTCATACATATATACCAAGTTTATTTATAATTGGGGATTATGTGACTTGAGATTATAGGTATTACTCAAGAATTGTTAAAAGAATAATAGTTTTGAATATATGTAAATTTTAAAATTAAAGGCACAATAATGACTTTTTAAACCAAATTTACATTTTTGAAATATGAGTACTCCTATGTGCTGTAGGATGGAACACATTCTTGTCACATTTACATAAACGTGATACACATGAATCCTTGTATTTAGAAGTTTTGAATAAGGAAAAATATTTTACAAAAGAGAAATAAGCTGTCATCTCTCAGATACGAGCAGAGGGACGATTCAGTTTTCTCTGGGGAGTTAAATAGCACACTAAATGGAAATCAACAGATGTTGGTGATCAGTGGAGGACAAGTCCCTGAGGTGGCAATGCAGCTTGGTTCCACAGTCGGCTGCAACATGGGCTCCTGTCCTAGGTTGAGCAGCCCAGCTCAGAGATTTCAGCATATTCTGGTTCAGAGAGGGGAGCATCTGAAGGATGTCAGGAAATTCATAGAGAATAGCAGCCATGGAAAGGGAAGAACCCTCTGCAATTCATACCAAGGAAACGGTCCAGACCACACAGCCTGGTGAACCCTTGGAAGAAGTGAGCACAGTGACATGGGATTTTCACTGGACAGTGGACAGACCAAGGCAAAACTCAACCCTGAGGAATAATTGAAAAAAGTAGAATTGGGGTAAAAGGTTAATTTTTCATAGATATTGCTTTACTTTTTTTTCCTCTCTCATAAGAACATCAAATAAGTTTTGAAAAAAATCTATATGGACCACATAATAAAAACAAGAACTAAAATGAAGTATGCACTTAAATTTTCAATAGATATCTCTTGAATTCCATATTAGGCAACCAAGACAGAAAAATCACACAAAATTAGAACTTACAGATGACATCTTTAACATAACCCAGTAATAGGAAATCCAAGGGACACCATTCCCATTTGGAGAGGACTAAATCCCAACAGAATGTTTGGTATATGGCTCTGAGACTGATCGGTGAGAATGGAACACATCTTAAAGTCTCTAAGAACTCACAGATAGAAGAGGATCTAGAAGTGTGGTCATGGTCCTAAGCCCTGGAGAATCTCAGAAATATCCAGCAAATGAACCCTTCCAATAGGATAGAGCTTCAGCCTGAAGGAAACCACATACACAAATAAGTGTATAGGCAAGGGACAAAGAAGGCTCTGATGATGTAGGGGAAAGAGCTTAGAAGAAGCAGATAGAGGAACTTCTACCACAACCCAACACAGTTCTCAAGCTGAGGGCACAACTTGGAAGCAAAGTCTGTAGGGTTCAAGGCTGGAAACAGGAGAGGGCAGAACATCTCCCAGAGCAGACTCAGCTCTGACATACAGAGGTGGCCTCAGAGATGGGTGCTACTCAGAGGCAGGTGCTGTTTGCACAACTACAGAGGTAAAGTAACAGCAAAGTCACTGAGAGAACTATTCTGCCATCCCCTCCCCCTCCAGGCCATCCTCCCAGTGATCCTGGAATATCTTCATGATTTATATATTAGGATTAAAAATGGAAAGAAATGAATCAATACACAGTTATGAGCAAAAATGGAAGAAGAATATCAAGGACAGATGAATCACATCCCTCAAAGTCATGGTGACAACGGGTATCTCCTTTCTTATTTAAAAAAAAAATGATGGGCTGGGGTCATAGTTCAGTTGGTAGAGTGCTTGCCCCACATGCACAAGGCCCTAGGTTCAATTTTCAGCACTACCCCCTCCCCCCAAAATTGGCTCTTTATATTCTACCATTTCAGGATCTGTATCTGAAATTAGAACCATATTGCTGAGTCCAGTATTTTTTAGGCTTCTGAAAAATTTCAACTCTGTCTCAACTACATAATTGAGAAGTCAGGGCACAGGGATGGGAAGGTAAGGACTTGTGTAACATTGAAAGATATTTCTACCATATATGAAAACGTATACATATTTTGTTTTGTTGCAGCCTTATAAATATGTACAAAATCCCTATTTTAAAGACTTGTTAAATAAATGTTTTTCTTTCTGAGATAAATTAAATTTGTTCAATTTGGTAAAATAATACTTTCCATAGTGTATTAACTTCCTTTGGGTAAAAGAGGAATATACTTTACCACCAAAATTCCACCACTTCCCCAATAAAAGCCTCCACACTGTTTAGCTGGAGTGTATCAAAGGCAGTGACCACTACCTCCACTAGAAGGAATGAAGACTGAGAAGCACCTCAGGGCGAATTCCCTGATCAACATTGCCAGCAGTAAATGATGTACCAGCTAGGATGTCTCATATCCAGCTCTGCTTTTTGAATTTCTGTAATGGAGAACTGTTCGTCATCTAAGTCTGCCATTACCAGTTCTTTGGGTGAGTGACATATGTCTCTAAAGAGTTATAGGAACTCTTAGCTGGGAATTGTATTTTACATTTGAAGAGTGTTGGAGACTTGTGTGAATTTCAATGAAATATCAAATATTCAGGTGTTGTCAGTAGACATCAGAATTACATATGTACCAATCAGATTAATGAACTGAATTAAATAATTACACAATGGATAATTTATTTCTTTAGTTTTTTTTCATATGCATTTGATGAACTAACCTTACAGACACTACAGAAATACAGAAGACAATTAGAAATTATTTTGAAAACCTATATTCCAATAAAATAGAAGATAGTGAAGACATCGATAAATTCCTTAAGTCATACGATTTACCCAGACTGAGTCAGGAGGATACTCACAACTTAAACAGACCAATAACAATAGATGAAATAGAAGAAGCAATCAACAGACTTCCAACCAAGAAAAGCCCGGGACCAGATGGGTATACAGCGGAGTTTTACAAAACCTTTAAGGAAGAATTAATGCCAATACTTTTCAAGTTATTTCAGGAAATAGAAAAAGAAGGAGCTCTGCCAAATTCATTCTATGAGGCCAACATCACCCTGATTCCGAAACCAGACAAAGACACCTCAAAGAAAGAAAACTACAGACCAATATCTCTGATGAACCTAGATGCAAAAATTCTCAATAAAATTCTGGCGAATCGGATACAAAGGCACATCAAAAAAATTGTGCACCATGATCAAGTAGGATTCATCCCTGGGATGCAAGGATGGTTCAATATACGGAAATCAATAAATGTTATTCACCACATCAATAGACTTAAAAATAAGAACCATATGATCATCTCAATAGACGCAGAAAAAGCATTTGACAAAGTACAGCATCCCTTTATGTTCAAAACATTAGAAAAAATAGGGATAACAGGAACTTACCTCGACATTGTAAAAGCTATCTATGCTAAGCCTCAGGCTAGCATCATTCTCAATGGAGAAAAATTGAAGGCATTCCCCCTAAAATCTGGAACAAGACAGGGATGCCCTCTATCACCATTTCTATTCAATATAGTTCTCGAAACACTGGCCAGAGCAATTAGACAGACGAAAGAAATTAAAGGCATAAAAATAGGAAAGGAAGAACTTAAATTATCACTATTTGCAGATGACATGATTCTATACCTAGAAGACCCAAAAGGGTCTACAAAAAAACTACTAGAACTAATAAATGAATTCAGCAAAGTGGCAGGATATAAAATCAACACGCATAAATCAAAAGCATTTCTGTATATCAGCGACAAAGCTTCTGAAACGGAAATGAGGAAAAACACTCCATTCACAATATCCTCAAAAAAAATAAAATACTTGGGAATCAACCTAACAAAAGAGGTGAAAGATTTATATAATGAAAACTACAAAACCCTAAAAAGAGAAGTAGAAGAAGATCTTAGAAGATGGAAAAATATACCCTGTTCATGGATAGGCAGAACTAACATCATCAAAATGGCGATATTACCAAAAGTTCTCTATAGGTTTAATGCAATGCCAATCAAAATCCCAACGGCATTTCTTGTAGAAATGGATAAAGCAATCATGAAATTCATATGGAAGAATAAAAGACCCAGAATAGCAAAAGCAATTCTAAGTAGGAAGTGCGAATCAGGCGGTATAGCGATACCAGACTTAAAACTATATTACAGAGCAATAGTAACAAAAACAGCATGGTACTGGTACCAAAACAGGAGGGTGGACCAATGGTACAGAATAGAGGACACAGAGACTAATCCACAAAGCTACAACTATCTTATATTTGATAAAGGAGCTAAAAGCATGCAATGGAGGGAGGATAGCATCTTCAACAAATGGTGCTGGGAAAACTGGAAATCCATATGCAACAAAATGAAACTGAATCCCCTCCTCTCGCCATGCACAAAAGTTAACTCAAAGTGGATCAAGGAGCTAGATATCAAATCAGAGACTCTGCGTCTGATAGAAGAAAAAGTTGGCTCCGATCTACATATTGTAGGGTC